ACCATGGTCCGAGAAAACGCGACCATTACCCAGGGGCCGAGAAAACGAGTAAACGATAAAAGGAATCGGGGCCCGAGAAAACGAGACTACGAACCAGGGGCAGAGACAATGAGAAAACGAGACACCGAACCAGGCCCCGAGAAAAGGAGACTACGACCGAGCGGCCGGGGAAACGAGAAAACGCGAAAAAGACCCACGACCCAGGGGCCGAGAAAACGAGACGACAAGAAAACGAACCAGGGTCCGACGAAACCACGACCCAAGGGCCGAGATCACCAGAAAACGCTTGGTTCGAGAAAACGAGACCACGACCCAGGAGCCGAGAAAACGAGGAAAAGAAACCACGACCCAGGGGCCGAGAAAACGAGACCACCATCCGGGGGCCGAGACACCGAGAAAACGAGAATCCTAACCAGCGTCTGAGAAAGCAAAACCACGACCCAGGAGCCGAGAAAACGAGAATACGAGGAAACTAAGCAGGGCCCGAGAAAACGAGACCACGACCCAGGGGCCGAGAAAACGAGAACACGAGAACACGAACCAGGGTCACATAAAAACGAGACCGCGACCCAGGGGCCGAAAACACGAGAAAACAAAAAAAACGATCCAGGGGCAGAGAAAACAAGAAAACAATAAAAAAGGAATCAGGGCCCGTGAAAACGAGAACACGAACCAGGGGCCGAGAAAACAAGAAAACAAGAAAACGAACCAGGGGTCGACGTTATTATCCAATGCGTTCTCTAGCGCTGCAGTGCGCACCTGTCTGATGGGATTTAGCCACTTCGCTATAACCCCGGAAGGGAGGGGGGGGTAGCTTCGGAAGCCCCCCTCTCTTTGTAAGGGAGGGCGGAGAGGGGTAAAGTGAAGCCCCTTTAGCCAGGTCCCCCCTAGTATAGAAACCCTTACAGAAGGGAGGGGGGAGGGGGGAGCTTCGGAAGCTCCCCCCCTCCTTTTCGAAGGGAGGGGGGGGTCAGCTTGAGGCTGGGGCCCCCCTTTCCTTATTCCTGGCGCTGCGGGCGCGCTCATGGCAGAAGGTTTCTCGCTATTGTTTTCGGCCTCGATCCAAGACCCCATCGGGTCATGAGAGAAATCATGACGAAATGTTTCTCGCTATCATTTTCGGCCTCAGTCCCAGACCCCCTCGGGTCATGAGAAAAATGATGACATACAGTCGGGGCGCTGAAGAAGGAACCCTTTTTCCCGGAAAGGGCTCCGGCCCAGGGTTCTCTTTTAGTGGGTAAACCTGTCCCCCGGTGCCAACTTGAAGGAGGCCGGCGAATTTTTTCCCTGATAAATATCGAGGTCGAAGGAGGCCGGCGAATTAAAATTTGAGGATGTCTCGAGCGAAACGCTTGTTTTTGAAATCCCGATCGATAAATCACAGGGTGCGGGCCACTTTTTCGTGTGTTGAGGATGTCTCGAGCGAAACGCTTGCTCCGCAGAGTTTGCCGAGGATGTCTCGAGCGAAACGCTTGTTTTGCAGAGCCGACCGCGACGCGGAAAAGCGCCCCGCGCGAAGGAATTTCGATGATGTTTCGACTAATTTGTTTGTTTTTGTACGATTTCCTGGAATTTTGGCAGGATGTCTCGAGCGAAATGCACGACCCCACCCTAGCACGACCATACCCCAGCACGACCACACCCCAGCACGACCAGACCCCAGCACGACCCCACCCCAGCACGACCCCACCCCAGCACGACCATACCCCAGCACGACCACACCCCAGCACGACCCGACCCCAGCACGACCCTACCCCAGCAAGACCACACCCCAGCACGACCACACCCCAGCACGACCTCACCACAGCACGACCACGCCCCAGCACGACCCACGCACGACCACGCCCCAGCACGACCACCCCCCAGCACGACCACCCCCCCAGCACGACCACCCCCCAGCACGACCACACCCCAGCACGACCACACCCCAGCACGACCCAGCACGACCACACCCCAGCACGACCACACCCCAGCACGACCACACCCCAGCACGACCACACCCCAGCACGACCACACCCCAGCACGACCACACCCCAGCACGACCACACCCCAGCACGACCCGATCGATAAATCACAGGGTGCGGAGCACCCCAGCACGAAACCACCCCAGCACGACCCCACCCCAGCACGACCCCACCCCAGCACGACCACGCCCCAGCATGACCACACCCCAGCACGACCACACCCCAGCACGACCACTCCCCAGCACGACCCCACCCCAGCACGACCCCACCCTAGCACGACCACACCCCAGCACGACCACACCCCAGCACGACCCCACCCCAGCACGATCACACCCCAGCACGACCCCACCCCAGCAAGACCACACCCCAGCACGACCGCACCCCAGCACGACCTTACCACAGCACGACCACACCCCAGCACGACCCCAGCACGACCACGCCCCAGCACGACCACGCCCCAGCACGACCACGCCCCAGCACGACCACGCCCCAGCACGACCACCCCCCAGCACGACCACCCCCCCAGCACGACCACCCCCCAGCACGACCACCCCCCAGCACGACCACACCCCAGCACGACCACTCCCCAGCACGACCACACCGCCTTGGTTGAGTGGTTGCCTGTCGTCGTGGAATGTTTCGTGGGGTGTCTCGTGGAATGTTTCGCGGGGTGTCTCGTGAAATGTTTCGTGAGGTGTCTCGTGGAATGTTTCGTGAGGTGTCTCGTGGGCTGTTTCGTGAGGTGTCTCGTGGGATGTTTCGTGAGGTGTTGCCCAGTTGGGTATCATGAAAACGTGTCCATGCTCCACATGTCTATATCCCTTTCCGGGTTCGTGGGTCCATCATGGTTGTTAGGGAGGGACTCGGTGTTCCTTGATTGTTTCAAAGTTTGCTTCGGGTTTTCCATGGGATATCGAGGTTGAACTTGTGGGAAAAGGGGCCTCGTTCCTTACTTAGGGTTCCTTAGGTCAAGGCCTCGACTGAAAGGTTTCTCGTTCTTTCTGTCGACCTCCGGGGGCAATCACTTACCGGGCCTCGGGGCCGTCAACAGGCGACTCAGGGCGAACAAACCGGTCCCGGGGAGTGGGCCGAGGATTCCGGGGGTCAACGTTCAAGAGGGAAAAAAACGCAGACACAATTAACCCTCGATTCCCCAGAAAATATTGGGAAATATGGGAAGTGGGGGGGAAGACAGAAACCCAGAAAGTATGGGAACATATGGGGAATCTTTTAATTTGTGTGTATTTATTTGTGCGTCCCAGGGCCCCTTCATACGTTACGAAAAAAATCGTGACGTCGTGGGTCTGGAATTCCCGAGACTCATCGTTCCACCTACCCCGCTTCCCTCCGTCCCAGCTGCCCTCCTCCAGGCTCCCTCCCCAGAGCCCTGACGTCACGATTTGTTCAGAACGTCGACCCCAGGAGTTCTCGACCCCTTCCCTGGGACCTGGCTCCTCATCCTGAGTCTTGTTCTGACGGTCTCGAGGCCCAGTGAGGGCCCCCAGAGGCCCAAAATAACGAACAACTTCCCGTCGAGATTTGTTCCACAACGGGAGGGGGTCTGGGTCCAGGAGTGTGACGGGAGTGGGAGAGTACCTCCCCCAACACGACACATGATTCTTGAGCGCCGAGGGCGCATCGTTTGAATGAATTGCGATGAAGTCCCACGCGAGAGCGCGATGCGTACATGAATTGTGAGGAAGTATCAGGCGCGAGCCGTTGTTGTTGTAACTCGGGGGCCAGGTGCCCAGTTTGAGCTTAGTGCCTTTCCTGGAAAAAGAGGGTGCGTCCCCCGGGGGAAGCACTTCAATCGAAAAATCAATGGTCACCGGAGGGGGGACCAACAATAATCATTTGGCCAGTAGTGGGAGTTCAACAACAACAATAACAACAACAAGAAAAACAACAGCAACAACAATAATAAAAACAACAACAGCAACAACAGCAACAACAGCAGCAGCAGCAGCAAGCACGGCGCGGTACTCCCGGCGCCTGGCGAATTATTGAAGCGGCCCTGTTGAGCAAGGCTCGCTCGAGCGGGCTGCATGCGTCCGCTGGCGCCCTACTGGACGGACCGCGGGGAGGGGAGGTGAAAGTGTCGGGCGATGCGTCATGGGGCGGCTCAGCGGCACCGTAACGGGTACTTACTCATGAATGGGTATTTTGGAAGAGTGTCAAAAGTTTGGCCTCTTTCTGGCATTGCAGCGTTGCCCACATCAGGGAGGATTGGGTTCGCCGGGTCGCTGGCCGAGGTATTCGTTGGTGGAGTCCCCTTTAGAGGGGCGCTGAGGGGCGGCAACCAGGGAAACGTAAGACTCGAGTACACCAGAAGTCGGGTTCGCAGTCGCTTTTTGACGAGCCCGTGCTGGATGTGGACGGTCCAGTCTTCGTGGGACGTTTGCAGCAGGAGTTCGCGTTAAATTTCTGACCGGGTCTCGTCATGTTCTTGATGGATCCGTCAGGCCAGCCCAGGCCCCCCGAACCCAAGTCTCACGTCTCCCCGAGATCCGACGTTGCAAAACAAATTCAACATCGCAAAAAATCACAACCAGAGCCCCGGACCCAATGTTTCTGCGTCATTTTCCGAGCCGGATCTATCTGTAAGGGTTTAGGGACACGAAATTCAGCGAACACGCCCGGTGCGAAAAACTTGCAACATAATCTCAGGGAGAGGGACACCTGCTGTGGCCAACACGGGCCCCAGAGCCTAGACCGGGCCCCCTCTGGAGCCCAGATATGGCACGAACGGTGACGGTGCAAGTTTCATCGCCACTCCGCAGTCATCGTCCCCCCACTGAGCAAAGCCCAGAAGAGGGAGGAGGGAGACGAGGAGGAGGAGGAGGAGGAGGAGGAGGAGGAGGAGGAGGAGGGGGAGGAGGAGGGGGAGGAGGAGGAGGAGGAGGAGGAGGAGGAGGAGGAGGGAGAATGGAGGGGACGAGAATCAGGAGAAGAAGGACGACGACAGGGGTACCCCTCCGCCCGGATCGGGGCGCGCCCCTCCACCTTCGAGCCGCGCGGAGCTGCGGGCGCTCGGAGGAGCTGGCTGCTCGGGGGCAGCTGACCAGCGGCCGGATGCAGGACGCCCGCCTGTTTTTTTTGTTCCCGGAAAGGGCGGGGGCCCAGGGTTCTCTTTTAGTTGGTAAACCTAATCCCCCGGTGCCAACTTGAAGGAGGCCGGCGAATTTTTTCCCTGATAAATATCGAGGTCGAAGGAGGCCGGCGAATTAAAATTTGAGGATGTCTCGAGCGAAACGCTTGTTTTTGAAATCCCGATCGATAAATCACAGGGTGCGGGCCACTTTTTCGTGTGTTGAGGATGTCTCGAGCGAAACGCTTGCTCCGCAGAGTTTGCCGAGGATGTCTCGAGCGAAACGCTTGTTTTGCAGAGCCGACCGCGACGCGGAAAAGCGCCCCGCGCGAAGGAATTTCGATGATGTCTCGACTAATTCCTTTGTTTTTGTACGATTTCCTGGAATTTTGGCAGGATGTCTCGAGCGAAATGCACGACCCCACCCTAGCACGACCATACCCCAGCACGACCACACCCCAGCACGACCAGACCCCAGCACGACCCCACCCCAGCACGACCCCACCCCAGCACGACCATACCCCAGCACGACCACACCCCAGCACGACCCGACCCCAGCACGACCCTACCCCAGCAAGACCACACCCCAGCACGACCACACCCAGCACGACCTCACCACAGCACGCACCCCAGCACGCACGCCCCAGCACGACCACGCCCCAGCACGACCACGCCCCAGCACGACCACGCCCCAGCACGACCACCCACCCCAGCACGACCACCCACACCCCCAGCACGACCACCCCCCAGCACGACCACGCCCCAGCACGACCACACCCCAGCACGACCACACCCCAGCACGACCACACCCCAGCACGACCCCACCCAGCACGACCCCACCCCAGCACGACCATACCCCAGCACGACCACACCCCAGCACGACCCCACCCCAGCACGACCCCACCCCAGCAAGACCACACCCCAGCACGACCACACCCCAGCACGACCTCACCACAGCACGACCACACCCCAGCACGACCACGCCCCAGCACGACCACGCCCCAGCACGACCACGCCCCAGCACAACCACCCCCCAGCACGACCACCCCCCCAGCACGACCACACCCCAGCACGACCACCCCCCAGCACGACCACACCCCAGCACGACCACTCCCCAGCACGACCACACCGCCTTGGTTGAGTGGTTGCCTGTCGTCGTGGAATGTTTCGTGGGGTGTCTCGTGGAATGTTTCGCGGGGTGTCTCCTGGAATGTTTCGTGAGGTGTCTCGCGGAATGTTTCGTGAGGTGTCTCGTGGGATGTTTCGTGAGGTGTCTCGTGGGATGTTTCGTGAGGTGTTGCCCCGTTGGGTATCGTGAAAACGTGCCCATGCTCCACATGTCTATATCCCTTTCCGGGTTCGTGGGTCCATCATGTTTTTCCCGGAAAGGGCAAGAGCCCAGGGTTCTCTTTTAGTTGGTAAACCTAATCCCCCGGTGCCTGCTTGAGGGAGGCCGGCGAATTTTTTCCCTGATAAATAACGAGGTCGAAGGAGGCCGGCGAATTAAAATTTGAGGATGTCTCGAGCGAAACGCGCTTGTTTTTGAAATCCCGATCGATAAATCACAGGGTGCGGGCCACTTTTTCGTGTGTTGAGGATGTCTCGAGCGAAACGCTTGCTCCGCAGAGTTTGCCGAGGATGTCTCGAGCGAAACGCTTGTTTTGCAGAGCCGACCGCGACGCGGAAAAGCGCCCCGCGCGAAGGAATTTCGATGATGTCTCGACTAATTCGTTTGTTTTTGTACGATTTCCTGGAATTTTGGCAGGATGTCTCGAGCGAAATGCACGACCCCACCCTAGCACGACCATACCCCAGCACGACCACACCCCAGCACGACCAGACCACGACCCCACCCCAGCACGACCCCACCCCAGCACGACCATACCCCAGCACGACCACACCCCAGCACGACCCGACCCCAGCACGACCCTACCCCAGCACGACCACACCCCAGCACGACCTCACCACAGCACGCCCCACACGACCACCCCAGCACGACCACGCCCCAGCACGACCACGCCCCAGCACGACCACGCCCCAGCACGACCACGCCCCAGCACGACCACCCCCAGCACGACCACCCCCCCAGCACGACCACCCCCGAGCACGACCACCCCCCAGCACGACCACACCCCAGCACGACCACTCCCCAGCACGACCACACCCCAGCACGCACCCCAGCACGACCACACCCCAGCACGACCACACCCCAGCACGACCACACCCCAGCACGACCCCACGCCACACCCCAGCACGACCCACCCCAGCACGACCCCACCCCAGCACGACCCCACCCCAGCACGACCACGCCCCAGCACGACCACGCCCCAGCACGACCACGCCCCAGCACAACCACCCCCAGCACGACCACCCCCCAGCACGACCACACCCCAGCACGACCACCCCCCAGCACGACCACACCCCAGCACGACCACCCCAGCACGACCACACCGCCTTGGTTGAGTGGTTGCCTGTCGTCGTGGAATGTTTCGTGGGGTGTCTCGTGGAATGTTTCGCGGGGTGTCTCCTGGAATGTTTCGTGAGGTGTCTCGCGGAATGTTTCGTGAGGTGTCTCGTGGGATGTTTCGTGAGGTGTCTCGTGGGATGTTTCGTGAGGTGTTGCCCCGTTGGGTATCGTGAAAACGTGCCCATGCTCCACATGTCTATATCCCTTTCCGGGTTCGTGGGTCCATCATGTTGGTAAACCTGTCCCCCGGTGCCAACTTGAGGGAGGCCGGCGAATTTTTTCCCTGATAAATAACGAGGTCGAAGGAGGCCGGCGAATTAAAATTTGAGGATGTCTCGAGCGAAACGCTTGTTTTTGAAATCCCGATCGATAAATCACAGGGTGCGGGCCACTTTTTCGTGTGTTGAGGATGTCTCGAGCGAAACGCTTGCTCCGCAGAGTTTGCCGAGGATGTCTCGAGCGAAACGCTTGTTTTGCAGAGCCGACCGCGACGCGGAAAAGCGCCCCGCGCGAAGGAATTTCGATGATGTTTCGACTAATTTGTTTGTTTTTGTACGATTTCCTGGAATTTTGGCAGGATGTCTCGAGCGAAATGCACGACCCCACCCTAGCACGACCATACCCCAGCACGACCACACCCCAGCACGACCAGACCCCAGCACGACCCCACCCCAGCACGACCCCACCCCAGCACGACCATACCCCAGCACGACCACACCCCAGCACGACCCGACCCCAGCACGACCCTACCCCAGCAAGACCACACCCCAGCACGACCACACCCCAGCACGACCTCACCACAGCACGACCACGCCCCAGCACGACCAGCCCCAGCACGACCACGCCCCAGCACGACCACGCCCCAGCACGACCACCCCCCAGCACGACCACCCCCCCAGCACGACCACCCCCAGCACGACCACACCCCAGCACGACCACACCCCAGCACGACCACTCCCCAGCACGACCACACCCCAGCACGACCACACCCCAGCACGACCACACCCAGTCGCACCCCCGTGGAATGTTTCGTGGCGTGTCTGGTTGAGTGGTTGCCTGTTCGTGGGGTGTCTCGTGGAATGTTTCAAAGGGTGTCTCGTGGAATGTTTCGTGAGGTGTCTCGTGGAATGTTTCGTGAGGTGTCTCGTGGGATGTTTCGCGGGGTGGCACGACCACGCCCCAGCACGACCACCCCCCCAGCACGACCACCCCCCAGCACGACCACCCCCCCAGCACGACCACCCCCCAGCACGACCACACCCCAGCACGACCACACCCCAGCACGACCACTCCCCAGCACGACCACACCCCAGCACGACCACACCCCAGCACGACCACACCCAGTCGCACCCCCGTGGAATGTTTCGTGGCGTGTCTGGTTGAGTGGTTGCCTGTTCGTGGGGTGTCTCGTGGAATGTTTCAAAGGGTGTCTCGTGGAATGTTTCGTGAGGTGTCTCGTGGAATGTTTCGTGAGGTGTCTCGTGGGATGTTTCGCGGGGTGTCTCGTGGGATGTTTCGTGAGATGTCGCCCAGTTGGGTATCGTGAAAACGTGACCATGCTGCACATGTCTTTATCCCTTTCCGGGTTCGTGGGTCCATCATGTTCTTCTAATTATTCCTCCTCCTCGTCCTCCTCCTCCTTCTCATTCTTTCTCCTTCTTCTCCTCCTCCTCCTCCTCCTCCTCCTCCTCCTCCTCCTCCTCCTCCTCCTCCTCCTCCTCCTCCTCCTCCTCCTCCTCCCCCCGCCACCCCCGAGCGAGCCGCCAGTCGGGGGGGGGGGTCGGTCGGCCTCGGCCGGGCGGGCGCGGAGGGGCCCCGCGGACGGTGCGGGCTGGCGCCGTGGCGGTTCCCTTTGTCGCAAGCCTCGAGACTGACAGGCCCTGTTGGTGCCAATTTCCAGGCCTCCAACCTTGTGCAGCCAAGACGCTGAAATGTCGGGCGACGAAATCTATACATATCTACTGCTCCCTGACCATGCCCATCTTGAACCCAGGAGCTGTGTATGCGCCCTCCTGGCCAAGCCAGGAGGGCGTGGCGTATACACCGCTGCGGGGTTGAGGATGGGCCTGGCCAGGGAGCAGTGGATATGTATAGATTTCGTCGCCCTAAAATGAAGGAACATTTTGGATTCGGAAGGGGCCCGATGTTCCTTACGTTCGCAGGCCTCGAGATTTGACACCAACACCGAGATCGGCGTGCTGGCCTCCACCGAGGGGTGAAGATTCCGGTCTCGGCGATGGTGGTAATATTCTGGCTTCCAAGGTGGCCGAAATATTGCCACCACCACCGAAGTCTAGGATCATCTTCCCCCTGTGGAGGCAAGCCCCGGGGCTGGTGTTGGTGCCAATTTCCAGGCCTCCAACTCCAACCTTGTGCAGCCAAGACGCTGAAATAAAGGAACGGTTTGGATTCGGAAGGGGCCCGATGTTCCTTACGTCCTTCCGTGGTTGTTCCCCTGCAGTCGGGCCGCTGTAGAAGGAACCTTTTCAGTTTGGGAGGGGCTCCGTGTTCCTTAGTTGTTTT